TTTGCTGATTAAACTTGGCTGATCAAAGTAAGTATTTCCAGGTCCGAGAACATGTATTAAGAGGTATGAAAATTATACATATAGAAAAAATACAGTTGAAATCCGTGGGACAAGCTTTTTCAAATTGGCTTGAAATGAAGCTTATGATATTTTATTTTCTAAAGAGCATACTTCCAGTTAAAATGCATGCGACTATAACAGGATCAGAAGCTTTATTCATTTTTTGAGAGTACACGTTTGATTCGGTGATCATATTTTTTAAAATTTATAGACTTTAGAGGAAAGTCGAACAAGGACACTTTTTCTGTATTATGTGTAAAAAAAATGGCGACATAAGTGACTTCAAGAAATGAATGTGTTTAGAAATTTATGCATTAATTTTATTCCAGCTCATGTTATTGCAAATATACCAAAAAAAGTCATCCCGATTTCAATTCGGCCACGATGAGTCCCCAGTAAAAAAAAAAGGCCAACTTGAATCATTCTCTTTCAACCTCTTGACATACATGGTTATCCAAAAGATATAATTCAGAACAATAATTTCGCATTTTTACATTTTATTTATCGAAGCAAATTCATGGCTTGCAATTTTTCGAAACTCCATGAAATATTCACATCTCGCGGATTCAGTAGAGAATTATTCACCCAGTGTCTGCGAGAAAACTCGAAAAAAAAGCGATGGAATGTTCTTACGGTTGGAATTCAGAAGCGCGCAATAATTTTCCAGCATGCGTGTCCTTCACTTTACGGAACAAGGACTCAAATGAACACCAAATTACATGCAGACGGAATATTTTCCCTTAAAATAAATCGTTTGAAATGCGGTATACGTATATTTTAGGTATAATATACGCCGCCTTCAAAAATATATAGACCTTCGATGAAACCGATCGNATATATAGACCTTCGATGAAACCGATCGATTTCACCTTGACACGCAACCGAAAAGCAATTGACCGCAGGTTGCCCGCAAAAATGGGTGTATATTTCTTTCTAGGCTTTGTGAGATGATTTTTTTTTTTCGACTGCGCATGCAAGAAAATTTCGGGCAAGTCGTGGATTGCAAGGTAAGATTCAGAGCAGTTTCTGAAATATAAAATCGCCACGTGAACTCTAAGTCTGGGATACTTCTACAAAGAATCGAATCACTGTAAAATTATTGCTGTGCACCTACAAAATTATACGAGGGGCTTCCCAAAAGTCCGAGGAAAAAATGATTATATTGTAGAAATCATCCTTCTACAAGGAATCGAATCACTGAAAAAAATTAATGCTGTGCATCTAACAAAAAATTTCGAGGGGCTTCCCAAAAGTCCGCACAGAAACAGTCTCGAATATCCATTGCTTTGCAGGTAAATGAAATAAATAATACCTGTGAAATGTATTGGGGACGAAATAAATTCAACATTCTCTAGAATAGAAAATACACAGGTGGACTCTCTTCGACAAACGATCTTGTCTACCACGATTTTTTAAATATAATGATTTTTTCCGGTTCCCTGCTGAGTTCCTGTCCCTTTGCTAAATATGTTCCCAGCAACAAAAGTTTCTCCACAAATATTTTTCTATGTCGTTTGAATTTATTTGTTGAGTCACCTGTGGTTTTGTAGATTTTTGTGTGTTTCAGAGTAATTTCTGTCGGATTGAAAGTGAGTGTACGATTATTTTTTTCCGACTTATTGGGGATCTCTGATATATACCTGACCATGCCAATGAATACAAAATTTATATAGAGGAATAAAATCATATTTTTTAGGCACTATTTGTGGAAAATTGGAATTTTGTTGGAAACCCCAACAAAACGTATATATACAGTACATTACAGTGAGTGCATCTTTAACGGCGACTTTTGTAGCAGTTTTAGCCAAGTCCAAGAAACACGCTGAACCAATTGAAAAATTATATTGCTGCGAGAAATCTGAAACTTATTGCGAATCTGAATTCTCCCTAAGGGCCTAAGGTATTCGAGGTCATTAATAATTTGGAAATTACCTGCTTGAGTTCCCCGAAATAATATTGGAATGTATGTACTGTACTATGAATTACTGGCTCCATTGCCTTTTATTTCATAAGATTTGCTCATTTTACAAACGCAACGGATGAGAAGGCCAAAAGCATACATGCACTTCACACACGACGTTTTGTACGAAAAATGTCATGTTTAGTTTTCGTCACTTTCGAGGAACCCCTGCGTTGTACATTTTGAACAAAATCCGTCACCTTTACAACTCCGAAAGGTATTCAATTTGCCTCGAGGCGTTCACGTGTAAAATAAATTCCCCGTGACACGAATAGTGGCATTGGAACATGAAACGAATCTCATCAAGAGAGAGCTTTTTTTCAACGTTGATGTTCGCTTTCAAGGTGCTTGTCTGTCAATTGAAAGAAAAATTGTTTGGTGAGGCTGACGTGCAGAAGACTTGGTGGTGTTATGAAGTTATCAAACGTGTCTGGACTCCAAAAAAAAATTAAATACTGCATAGAATCGAAATAAAAAGGCACAAAAAAAACACTTGCTCGTGACCCGCTTGTTCGAGTTTCGAGTTCCGCCCCTTACGATACACATGCTTATACAAAGTGGGTAGTGTGAAGTGATCAAAATTTTTCTGCGCACTTGCAATAAAAATTTTCTAAGTTATTCTTCGAGTTATTCATCCGCAATTTCTCCACCTTTAAAAAAATATAAAAAATCAGTGGTAATTCCTGCTCATAGTCAAGTGCAATGACGAAGCTGCTTATTCTGTTTTTTTTTTTCATAACTCAGCCGATAGATTTCAGGTCATGCGAAGCAACTGGAAAATAACTCGGGGAAAAACTGCGGAATGCCTGATTGAAAGGTTTTATGAAGAAATGGCAAAATTCATTGGACTTCGGGAAGATCGATGGTGAAGAATTGAGGATCTGACTGGATTGTCACAACTCGATTTTCACGTCGAGCAGTTTCTGCAGCGAACACCAGCAAATGACTCTTCAGAGATTCTTCAACTCCTGCAAAAAAAAATTGAATTTCAAAAAAGGTAGCACAAGTTTCTAAATTATGAATACTGTACATACAAGTAATATCTACTCTGTGCTTATGAGTACTTGATACAACGCATGTTTCATTCATACTCCTGCGTCTTGAATAATAAGGGTTCAACATTTTCAAAATGTTTTTTCCATTGAACCACAAGTTCACAACTGAACATTCCTTGAAAAACTCGATTAGCGATCTCTTCTTGACACAGCGAATGTTAAATATTTATCTAATGAAATTTCAAAGTACGTCTAAAATCCATAAAGGCTCGATTTCACAACATCTTCATTTTGTTCGGTGATTGATTTGATTTTGGGATCCAATATTTTCAAGTTCAAACGTGAAACGTGTTGAAACTAGCAAGAAGAAAACATCCAAAAGAAACATGGGATGGTATCAGGAAACGTATTCGAGATTTAAAATATTTTGTGTGCAAAAAAAAAGACTCAAAAATGTGAACAAAGACCGTTGCTAAATATGTTTTAAATTTATTTGGCAATGCAGTGCTATAAAGCTTTCTTCGAATATTTTATACTGGCCTTTACTCGTGTTCATTTTAAAAAGATCAGTCCATTCCTGAGAATAACAAAGTGATGCAGCAAGGAGGACGTTTCCCAATGAAATTTATTCACGCAAAGCCCGCTGAAAATTTTCACCATGATGACATTGTTGAAATTTTTGATGATGAAAATTTAGTACATATCTCAATAGAATTCTTAGCTTCTGTGCGAAGAAAAACAATTACAAATGACAAACTGGATATAACATCCCATACTGGGAAAAGTACATGGGTAAAAATGCTGTACCTCTGTACAGTATTGAACATTGAGATGTCAGTACTGTATATCCTGTATGAAAAAAAAAAGTTGAAATGAGAGACGGAAATCCCTTCTCTATGGAGAATCCCTATGCTCAAGGTACTTTTTTACTCAGCTAGATGGAACGGGAAAATGATGTCACAATTTCCAAACATTTTTTCTTGCAAGAATGTAACCATACCATGGTTGGAAATAGAGTATCTCTTTCTTGTAATTCAGCCAAAAAAAATTCAATTTATTTCCTGAAATGGCAATGTCCACAGGTTGAGTCAGTGTCTGCATGTGGGAGTCTCACTGACTGTACTGTACCTGTCAGGACCAGGGTGGGATCATTTTTCGAAACAGCCTTGATGAACCCGTCCATCAAGTAAAAATCCGTGCCTCCGTGTCCCATCAGCGCCGTGTCAATGCCCGACGATTTCACAGCTGGTACAGATTTCTTCTCTCTCGTCAGAAAATCGAAATGTTCCACTGTATACGTAGCAAATAGAATTAATTTCAAAATAAAAACAAAATTAGATCGGCATTCATCCGAATCTACAGAAAATCGAGAAAACACCAACGCGTTTTGCCGCTGAAACATCCACCCATTTGTCCACGGGTTCCATAGAAAGTCGTGTATCTATCACACAGCGATTCCGAAAAGGCAATCATGGTGAGAGTGGCTGTTGAGCCATCGTCGAACTCGAACATGACGATTTGATTGTCGTTTACGTCGTTGTCCGTGTCATAAACACATTTCCCATAAGGGCCCTCCTTCAGAAAAAAATGATCCGCGGCTTTTATTCCTCGAAAAAAAAAATCAGTTTACACCTGGTTGAAAATACCCTTCATAAACGTGTGGAAAACAATCAACCGAGGGGTATAATAAAATTTTTAATAATATGAATTGAAACTGTATAAAATGGCCGAGCTTAAAAAATTATTGTTCAGGAAAATCATTTTTGATGGTGACAGGAGAAAGAAATGCAACCTATACGCATTTTTCTTCGCAAAAAAATTTGCAAAAGTCACCCTGGCATTTTTCTGCGTTGAACTTGAAAGGTGCTCTTTATCTTGCATTTTTTCATAGCCCGGTGTCTCCTTCAGCTCTTTTGAAATTTACGTCAATTCAAAGGATTGCCTCCAGTTCTTGTGGAGGCAACCCTGGGACTTAAATTGCTTCAATCGCACGTTTCTGAATTATTTTGTCTTCACTGCAATGGTCGACTGGGACTCTGACGACTTTTTTGCCGATACATAAACGGATGTGTCGCACGAAGTTCCAATTTATTTTTTGTTCAAAAAGCTTGCTCAGTTGTAAATATGGTGGGCTTTTCTTGAAAACGTAATTCTTGATACCTGGACGGTAGCAGGTTACTTTTCGGGTGGACAAAAGTGCACCTGGGTTGCAGAGGCCAAA